TATCAACCTATGGGCTTATCAGAAGATTGAAACATGCTTACAGTTTCTGATGAAAGGTGGAAAAGCAGGGGAGTGATTCCCTTTCGCATATTAGAAAGTGCTCCCCCAATACTCCCCCCACCTCAATGACCACTCTCCATTTTGTTCATCCCAATGGTTAATTTGGTCCTGATAGAGAAACAACAAAGTAAGTTTCTAAGAATACAAAGCCTAGGTTGGGGTACTGTGGCATTCCCTTGGATTTATAGTGCCCCACCAGAAACTGGGGAATCAGAATCCTTCCTTGAGAAAACTCCAGGTGGGAAGTCAGTCCCAAGTGTACCAGGAGGGCAGCACATACCAGTTATAGCAAAATTCTTACCCTTATTCTGATTTCTCTTGCTCAATGTTATTTCTTTTGGGTATATGCTAATTGTCATTTTAAAAAGCTTCATTGACCAAACAGCATCTACATTTTATAGGGGCTCTGTTCATCATGCAGTTGGCAATGGGCAAGGGGGTCCTTTTGAAAGATTAACTTGGAATTAGAAAGTATCTCCCTTCAACCCCTCCCCCCCAGCTGAGACTAAGGGCACTGAAGGAGTGTTTCTCCCCTCATTCCAGAATAAGATCATGCACCGTGGGGTACTGACTCAACAGCATTCTGATGCTAAGCAGTGAAATGTGACCTATGCTTCCCACCCACATGAGCAATTAGAACAGCAAGCTTCTTGTGTGGGGGTTTTCATACTGTCAATACCCGCAAGACGAGACAGGCAACAGAGACCACTGTCTCCCAGAAGGATAGAAGGTCCAGGGCTGGGCTGACAAGTGTTTCCTTTCTGAACAAACACCCACATCTATTGTGACCAAAAGAAGTGACTACACTAGAGCCTGGTAACCCACTGGGTACACCTTCTCAGGGGTATTCATTTAATTGGCAGAATGGAAAATGCCATTAGCTGAAGGAGTAACCTTGCTTTTACATCAAGCTCTTGACAGCATCCCCTGGATTGTAGGAAAACAACAGGAGAATGTGGGAGGAATTTTCTTGCATGGAGACATCAAGAGCTGGTCATGTTGTTTTCACCATTTTTCACATACACTAAAAAGGAACAAATGAATCCAATGGGAACTGACTGCTAGGGCAGTTGGAAGGATGCAGGAGTCTAAAGGACTGCCTCTATTAAGAGTACAGGATGGTGCCAGAGACTTAGCCACTCAAAGCAAGATCAGTATTTTCTTCAAAATAAACTTTTAATACTATTAAATTAACAAGAGTCCTTATACTTAAAGCTTCCTATTAGACCTCGAAGGGCTTCCAAGGAGCTCAATTTCCACATTTGCTCTTTTTACAAATAAAGCAATGGAGGCTGAGAAAAGTGATCTACTCCCAGGTTATTGTCGACTTGAAAGAGAATCTAGGATCCCTGCTTCCAAGGACCACTGATGCAGACTTTCACCTGTTCATGGCCTTTTTATCTGTTTAGTTTTTGTCAATGTTTTCCCACACATGCTCCACAAAGGATCCACCCAACATGCTAGGTCCTTTTGTCAGTCTTTTTACATTTTCTGGGTACCACCCTTGATCCCAATCCATGACAAGACCAACTCCATCTCCAGTCGTTAACTTCCTCAGTGATATATCTTTTTTTTTTGGCTAGGCAATGGGGTTAAGTGACTTGCCCAGGGTCACAGAGCTAGTAAGTATTAAGTGTCTGAGGTCACATTTGAACTCAGGTCCTCCTGAATCCAGGGCCAGTGCTCTATCCACTGTGCCACCTAGCTGCCCCGAGTGACATATCTTTTATGCCATGTCTTGCACACAGGTCACAAATGCAGCAGCCTACTTTTGCCCACCATCTTTTGGGTCATCTGCAACTTCAACTCTTTTAACATTTTGATGTTCCATGATTAATGACATTGTATCACAGGGAAAACATTTGTGTAAAAGAATGGTGTTTATGCTGTGGAGTAGCTTGGGATCATTTAACTGCAAAATTCCCCCAAAGCAATCCATCCTGTTCTCTTCTTCCTGTCCAATATGCTGTCTTTGCACTCCCATTCAATTTTGAGACAATTTACTATCCATCTGCAACCCATGTTGCAGATATACACACACACCAACTCAATGGTCTAGTCACCTAACTATATATCATAGTCAAGACAATGGGAATTTTGAGCCATTTAGTTTTTCCTATATGGATTTCTGAGGCAATCTCTTTTGGGAAATCATGGGCTCACTGATGAGGTAATGATCTGGATTATAATATTATTTTCAAAGAGGAATATCTCACTAAAGGGAAAAACTCTCTTCCATTTATTGGACTTTGCACAGTACATCTTCTGTGCAGTGGCAAATGCCTTTGCCAAGCATTTCTCTCTCCATTTGTGTCTCTCTTATCTTAATAATAATGTTATTGAATAGTTATCTTTGTAGTTGCATTTATTAAGGGTTTTTGCATGATTTTAACATGTGCATGAGTCCCCTTATTGATCTATCAAGTCAAATGCTTTTCTGAAACAACAAAAAATCTGAAATGGGATCTTGCATTCTCTGCACCTTTTATTCAATAGAACTGACAGATTATTGTCTGCCTTACAGAAACATTTGTGAAAATTTGCCTATACCCTTACAACATTCAACAAAGATATTCTTTATATATGCATGGAACAGTCCATTAAAGATTGTATACAGATGAGAAAGTATACATGTAGCTTTCTAGTTATTAATGGTCTCATCTTTTTGGATAATAATGCAGTCCATGTTTGTTTGTTTTTTCCATTATTTTGATATGTTCCCCTACCTACGCTATCTTATTAAACAATCCTTCAGTGCTTTCATGGTTGCTTTACTATTAGATTTCTTGAATATACTCACAGTCTGGTCTAGTGCTGCTCTGCACAACTATCTTCTTAACATCAGGGACTGAGGCACTAGGACTCATGTACGATGATTCCTCTGTCACCAATTACGAAGACAGATTATGGAAATTTTGAAAAATTTGTTCTGTTTTCCATCTATTTGCTGGCCTCCTGCCTGTTTCATTAATGAATGCTTTGCATTTAAGATGCTGACCTCACTTGTCCTCATTTTCACCACTTTATGTTGTCATATGAGGTGACACTTGGATATTTTGATACAGTTGTGATCTCCCTGCTGTAGGTACTTCCTCCAGTGACAGTGATCATAACCAATCTATGCCTTCTCATCCTGTTTTAGGACACATCCTTATGTAAATTCTCTATAGAGGATGTTGGGGGCTTTTTCTAGATCTCTTGACACAGTATGGAAGCATATCGGCTATCTATTAGTTATCCCTCATTCACATTTGGCCCACTTTCTTTTCTAGTCATACATTTCTGTGATGGCTTTATGTTTATCCTGTGGAATTCTTGGCATGTGGTCTGCTCATGACCACCACGTATTTCTCCAATGTCCTTTAATTTTAACTTCACTTCTTCAGTGACTATGACATTCTATGACTTAAAGTCATAGACTCCACTAGAAAAAATATCATTTAAAAATATAGGTATTTGTTTCAGGAAGAAGCTTGAGATCAATTAAAAAATGCTACACAATTTTATAAGTCAAGCTTGCCTGCTTACCTCCTCCTAATAAATTCTGAGCACAGGATATAGTAATACTGCTTATAATCTGCCACCATCCTTTGTAGTATTTTAACAAAAGAGTTTATATTCTAAACTGATATTGCTTTTGGCTCCATGTTTTTACACATATCAAGGAGTGACTTGGTGAAAAAGCATTTATTAAACACAAGGCACTGTGCCAAAGAGATCATGTTATTGGTTAAAGTAGTTTTGTGGCTTTTTTGGCCTACCTGTTGTGGTAACTGCTTTATATCAGGTAAGCTTTTGCAGGAAATTATAATCCAGTCATAACATTTGCATTTTTCCATTTCCCTTTTTTGCAACATCAACAACTTATTTGAATAGGTCAGATTTGTAGCTGTAACTTTCCCTTTATCTTTTCTTCTAATTTGATATTATTTTGACTGTTTCTTGCTCTAGTCAGTGGTCTGACTCTATGACTACTTATGATTTGACTCCCAAATCTATAACCAGTCTGTTAAAATATAGTGAATCAAATTTTGTTATATTGTTCAGTGCTTGCCATATGCAACACCTTACCTATCTCATGGAGTTGTTGTGAAGACTGAATTACATATTTGCCAAGTACTTGACACAGTGTTTGGCACATAGGTGCTTAATAAATCCTTTCCTTTCCTTCCCTCCCTCCTTTCTTGGGGACAGTATTCATGGCATTTTGCAAGATGAAATCAACTGAAAAATCACACCTTCTCAGCACTACCTGCCCCTGGGGCCTCTCCCTCTCTCTGACTGGAGAGGACATTGGAGAGTTCCTCTCAGATCCTCCCCCATTTAAAGAGGGCACCCAGAGAATTCACCCATCTGTCCCCTTTTCTGGACCTCATGATCATTAGAAAGTCCATTGTTCTGCGAGACAAAAATCAACTGTAAAACTCTCACGTCCTCAGACTACTTTTCACTCTGGCTCTAGGACTTCATTATGCCAGGTCACTTTCTCCCCTCTCTCTCTCCTCCCTCCCCCACTCGCATGTCTCAGCTTTTTTTTTTTAAGCACTGTCTTTCCACATTAGATGGTGATCTCCTTGAGGTCAGTAACTGTCTTATGCCTTTCTTTGTATCCCTAGCACTTAGTAGAGCGCCTGGCAGGTTGTCATTCAGCCAGTCTACCTCTTTGCGATCCCATGAACCATAGCACACCAGGCCCTGGACCTGAGAGGCTCATCTTCTGATGTCACGCACTTTATACTGTCCATGGGGTTCTTCTTGGAGTGGTTTGCCATTTCCTTCTCCAGCAGATCATCTTTTATCAGAACTCTCCACTATGACCTGTCCATCTTGGGTAACTATCCCTTGCAAAGCATAGCTCATAGTTTCATTCATCCCTCCTGGATCACTGCTTTCTCATGGGGGAGGGACTTGCATAACCTCGTACGCAGCAGGCACTTAACAAATGTTTACTGACTTTATTGACATGAAAGTATTAAGCTTCTGACCTTTGGCCTTCATTATTTTTCAAACCTGTTATTTCTCAGTGTTTCATTGATAATTTTTTATACTAATAATTTCCCAGTAAGTGCTCCCATAAAACCCTTCCTCACAATAAAGAAAAATAGTTAAGTAAAATTCCAATCCAACAACTACAAGACAGTGTATGTAACATTTCATACCCATAGTCTATTACCTCTCTACTAAGAGAAGGAAAGTGTTTTTCATCATCAATCCTCTGGAATCAAGATTGATCATTATATTTAATCTGAATTTTGATGTCTTTTAGAGTTTTCATTTACATTATTAGTCATTGTGTATAATTTTTTTTCCTGATTCTGCTTTCTTCAGTCTGCATTGATCCCTACAAGTCCTCCCATATTTCTATGAATTTTTCACAATGCAATAATACTATATTGCATTCATATATCACAATTTGTTCAGCCATTCTCCAATAAATGGGCACACACTTTGTTTCCAATTTTATTGCTACAATGAAAAGGGCTACTATAAATATTTTGGTATGGGACCTTTTGGGAGCATAGATGGAGTGGTAAGATACATGAGTCTAAGGGTATGAACAGTGTAAGCTGCATAATATATCAGGCTGTTTTTCAGAATGGTTGGACCAATTCATAGTTCTAACAACAGTTTATTGGTGTGCTTTTCCCCCCATAGTCCCTCCAAAATTGACTCTTTTAAAACATTTGATAATTTAATGGGTGTGAGGTGAAACTTCAGAGTTGTTTTAACTTGTCTGTCTGTTATTACTGATTTTCATATAGTTGTTGACTGTTCTTTTGAAAACTGCATGTCATGTGACCATTTATCTATTCAGTAACATGCATCATGTTTTCCAACATATTTTCATCCTCCTCACCTTTCTAACTGAAGTCACTAAGTATCAAAGTACTGGCTTGGTTTGGAGGATCTTATCTACTTCTTTGTAGAATTTCTCAATGTCTTCATTCTTTACAATGGATGCCCATACATAAGCTGTAATTACTTACATGGTGGGCTTTGCTTATGCTCACGAGTACTAAAAGATGACCAAAGGTCCTATTAAGTTATGTTTCTAATTGCCATTATAAATGTGATGAAACCAATTAGGCTAACTCCTTTGTCTGACTTTCAAAGGAGACAAACATTTATCAAATGCTAACTTCACTGAGAAGCTTAAATTAAAATTGACAGTTTAGTAGGCACTGACATAGTCAAGATAAATTAAGACATGGTTCCTCTCCTCAAGGAGCTTACAGTCTAACCAGTTCATATCTTTTACGGAGACAATTACTTCCTCTTCTCCAAGAAGTTAGTAGAATATAATGATCAATCTTGATGTCTATTAAAAACTATTTCAGATTCTCCAGAGATATAAATGCAAGATTAGGAACAAGGGACTAAAGAATCCTAACTAGGAATCCAAGAGTTATTTCAATAGAAGTATTATAGTTCATATCAGTGGAGATAGATAGTAGAGCGATCATTTGTATGTGTAAACCCAGAATACAAACAGAAGTGGGTTTGTCATCTATGGAACCTGTCTTTATTCGTCCATATAGAGAGGCCTGGCTTCAAAAGGTACTTGCATCATTCAGGACCCCATGGCGGCTCATTCTGAAAATTAATATCTCCATGAAATGTTAGCAAATGGAGAAAATTCTGTTTAATTGGATCAGCAAGAGATTTAGGCCATCTCCCCTGAGCCTCCCATTAAGTGGATCTTAAGTGGGTTTTCTGGGGCTGAATGGGTCACGACCAATGTAAGCATAGTGGCTGCTTTGATCTCCCAAAATTGTTGAGTTTACAAATGACTGTCTTAGGGCATCTCAGAAGAAAACCTTCTGGAAAGCCCTTGGAAATGTTATTTTTAGCAGGAAACACACCATGCACACGCACGCGCGCACACACACACACTCACAAAGGCGCACACACAGGAAATGAGATATTTTTAGGTCTGACCACATAAGCCAACCAAAGAGATTATAATGATAGGGAGCAGAATATCCTTAAAGGACATTCTCTCTGTTCCATCCTCCAAAGAGAAATTTTACTCAAATAGAAGTGAGTCAGGATTTCAGAATCCTGTGGCAACATGAAAAGGAGGTGGTATCCAGGGAAAGGACCAAAATTTGCAGCTCTGCTTATAGTGAAAATATGAATTTGAAGTTCCAATTGGTGCCTATTACCTTTAAATCTCTGGCAAATGGAAAGATCGATCTTGCACAATGTTTTTTAGTACAATCTTTGAAAAGAAGAGAACAAAGACTTCTGTAAAAATATATACGTATATATAGATGTGGAGAGGAGGAACGTGGAAGATTCCAAACACACCTGGGAGAGGGAAAACATTAGAGAGCCATGGTGACAACTGGAGGCTTGAGTCACTTATTAACATTAGGAGGAGTTGATGTCCATTAGGATAACGGTGTGTGGCACAAATCACAGACCGTGGCATTTGGTAAATGAATCAGAAGAGAGTCTCCGAAAAAAGGAAAACAGTGAAAGGAGAAACTGAATAGTTCTATAGCAGCCAGCTTTTTCTAGCAATGGAGCAGAGGTCTATCTGAGGTCTATCTCCTCACTATACCTACTGCCCTCCTGAGTGCTTCAGGGAAGGGAAAGGTCAGTTTTTTAGCAAGAACACATGAAGTGATATAAAAGACAAGCGCTTTCTACCATGCCTGGGGGGAGGAAGCTGTATGTTTGTCAGCACATAGTCTGAATGCTGGTCACCAGCTTCTGAAATGTTCAATGACATACTCTGTTAAGTAGAGTGGGAAGGCAGCCTACACTGAACACACATTCCCACCGCAGTCATGACTGACAGCAGCAACTGCTCATGTACAACAAAACTCACCCTTAGAAACTAAACTTATAACAAAGAACCAGGTAGGACAGAGGAGAGAGACACCATGGGGTCCAAATGGACACCACTGTACAGGGACATCATCATCTTGTGCTTGAGGTACCCAGCACGCTGACCTTTCTTTGAAAACAGCTGCTGATCCTTGGCCTGCCCAGAAGGAACTAATGTAATCAAAGATGGAACAACACTTCATTAAAACCCACATCCCCTCCCCCCAACCAGTCAACACCACCTAAGTTCTCAGATGGGAAGAGAAAAACTAAAAGAGAACCCACAAAGTGCTCCCCTCTTTAAACCTTGCTCCTGTCCCTGCTAAAGTCTCAGTTTCTTGGCCGCACTGTGGTCAGGCAGCACCGAGCCAGCAGTTGTTGGCTTCGAGCTGCCTTTGGCCCAAGAGCAGCAAGTTAAAACGTTTGCTTTGGCTCAGGCTTGCACATTTGGCTGATTTCCACCCTTCAGTCCTGCTTGTCTCCTTTCTGCTTCCAAGGGTAGATGAGCTCACCAAAGAATAGCTTCTTACACAGTGAGCCCCAGGAGTCCTTAGGGTAACAGCTGTAGGTGGGGAGACGGTAGGTTTGTATCACACTGCCATACGACAAAGGATTGATCTGTAAATACACAACCAGGAAAGGCAGGAGCAAAGATGAGACAGTATACTTTGGACTTCAACTAAAGACAGGAAGGGTTGGCATAAAGTATGTATGTAATGGATTGTACATGTATAACCTATATCAGATTGCTTGCTGTCTCGGGGAGGGGGGAAGGAAGGAGAAAAATTTGGAACTCATAATCTTACAAAAATCAATGTTGAAAACTATCTTTACATATAATTGGGAAAAAAATACTATTAAGTGCAAAAAAATAAAATAAAATGGAGCAATGATTTAAAAAAAAGGATAGAACTTTGGTCTACAGCTTCCAAAAAAAGCATGCATGTATTTACCTCCCTACTTTAGTCTTGGTCTTTCTTACATACTCCCAACTGTGCTGCCGGGCACCCCAGGGGATCTACAGGAGGTAGAAGAATTTGCTTTTGGGCTCATTGCCAGATTTCCTCCTGATGACTACGTGCCATGTTTAAATGGTTTTGCAGTAAAAGGCACAGGCACGCTGAGAATTCAGAGCAGTGCCACATATGCATGACATCTCTTAGAAGATTCCTGTTCCTTGAGGATATATGGAGTGCAGATGCACAGGAAGTAGCTAAGGTCCCTGTTCAGGTGGCTGGTCACATCGAAGACCTCTTCTAGTCCCAGAATTTTTCTTAGTCTAGACTGAGGGCTTCCCCCATGCTCTAAGTGTTTGGTAAACTTCCCTTCACTGTTTTTCTAAGCAGAACATCCTTAGGAGACTTTCTGGGATAACCCAAGGGATGTAGAACTAAGCTCAGAAGTGAAAGAACTAAAGATTTGCCATGACTTAGGCTGTGATATGTCCTTGAATGTTTTCTTCTTTACTAGATACGCTCAGAGGGGAGGGGAAAGGAATGGATCCTTTGAAAACTCCTCTGTCCCTCTTCCTCCCAGTAATGCAGGGTTTTCAGCAGGATGATCCCAGTTGTAAAAGAAATAAGCAAAGTGATAACTGCTGTAAGTATAGAGGAGTGGAACCTACTCAACCTCTGCCTTCTTGTTATGAAATAAGAACCTAAGTTCTTGTAAGAGAGCACTAAGTTAAATGATTACAGTGAGACTTGTATGCAAAAACTATAACTACTTTTCATTGCATAATTTTAAGTTTCTGAAAGCCAAATATAAAGTCCTACCTAAATCCTAGTTTGTAGGTCATGGAGAACACTAAATGCACTAGGAATCAGGATATTTGGTTCTAGACTTGCTTCTGGAAGATGTCTTCTGAACTTTGGGGCAGTCTACTAAACCTTCAGGACCCCAGTTTCCCCATCATGATCTCTCACTACAATGCCATTCAGGAGTTCAGGTCCTTAGAGAAAACATTTTACTGAATTCCCAAAGGATCTTATGAAACTAAACTTCCTTAGATGCATTCCAAGATGAACCCGACTTAGGTAGCGTTCCTATTTATTGGAAATGGTATTTCAGAAATGTATCACTACACTAATAAGGGTCATGTTATGAGTTGGTTTCAAGGAAAGGAAACTTAATCTTTATACGATTAGCTTGCTATTTTCTAAACTTTTCCTCCTGTATAGGATCACAGAGTAAAAGAGCTGTAAGGGGCCTTAGAAACTGTCCAGTCGAGGCCTTGCTCAAGGTCATACAGTTAGTAAATAGCAGAGTTGACACCTGTACCCAATGTCTTCTGGTCCCTAACACTGGGTTCTTTTCATTCTATTTCTACAGTTTATCAATCTTCTTTAGATGGAGTTACTGGACAGCAGAGTATAAACCTTCATTTAACTTACCAGTGAGGAAAAAAGGTAAGACAAAAAAATCTTGCTTAGTCCATGTTTTGGAACTTCCAATGAGAAAGTATTGTTAGTGACAAGCCACTCCTACAGACAGATTTATTAGTCATCTTTCCTATGTTCCTTCAGAGAGAATGACCTTGACATACTGAAGTATGGAGCTCTGATGTTTGTTGTTGCAAGGCAAAACTGGGCCTGTAAAAACCCATTAACAGTTCCAACTTGTCTGAAACTTTACTTGAGTTACTACAGTGACTCAATATTGTTAAATAAGAACAAAGCATTTCCCAAATGGACTGCTCTGAGGTAAAAGGACCAAACCAGAGTTGTAAAAAGGCAGGCACATTTATAAAAGGCTTTATGTTTAGTCATTATTCTTGTTCCTAATTATGATCCAGAATACTCCTCCTACTCCTCTAAATAGAAACTAGTTTTATTTAAGACACTACAACTAGTAGGGCAAGTCGTTTGAAGGAAAATTGCTGAGAACAAACCAAAGGGAACGGGCATGTTAGACAAAGTTGAATAATGTGGTCTTGCTGCAGGCTGTTTTATATTGAAGTACACTTTTAAAAGCATGAGGATCAGCTTCCTGAACTAAATAAATAAACGGTGGGCTTTCGTGACCTGGTACTAACAGATCCTCTCTTACAGAAAAGCAAATTTTCCTACTTCCTTCTCTCAGCTCTAAATGGGTCACTGTCTAAAATTAATCTGCTAGAAGCTGATGGCAGGTGGGGCTCTAAACTCCAAAAGATCATATTCCCACAGGTCCTTTCATAACTCAGCTATGAACAATATGTTCACACTCTTGGTTTAGGGCTGAGAACATTTTCAATAGGCTTGCTAAATAAGCTTAAGTGTGGTGGGTGGTTTTAAAATACATTTTTAACAAGAAAGTTGGGGTAACTTTGTAAAGGGAAAGATTTAATTGACCAGTGGACCAGAAAATCCCTAGACTATGAATTGTGATTTTGAAGGGCTCTAAGATCTCACAGGTTCTACTCTATTTCCATCTAAGTACCCCTACAAAAGAGATGGTAAGAACACTTCAACGCAAGTTTGTTACTGTATCACATGGGTGCTACTTTCTGGAGAGGGGAAATGACCCTGTCAGCAGCTGAATCTTCATAGAGAAAGAAGCAAAACCAAAGCTATGTCAGCAATGTTGCAGGTGAGCCCAATTTATCTCCCCACCCATTATGAGAACAGGCACCTGAATGATAAATGGACATTTCTGAGAAGACTGCACTAGAACAAAATGGCCTTCTATTCTCTTCTACCCTGTCCATAAAACTCAGAAAAGCCATCAGGGAAGGTAAAATTACTAGTGGGCCCACATTGTTGGAAATGTAGCAAATGTAGCTGGGATCTTTATGTTAGCCCTGGTCATAGCCACAGGCTGAAAGCAAACATGATTTGGCTGGGTGTTACCTGCATCAACAGTCGAAGGGGTCTGCCTGAGTCCTGCTCCAGGACTCTGAACTTTACACCAGCTGGAAATCAAAGAAAAGATGTGTGTGAAGAAAGGAGAAACTGCTGTTCTTGGCTCATTTGGGCCTAGTCTTATGGCACCTAAGGGACAAACACTAGAGGGTGAGTCAACACAAACTGAAATCACCTGACTCTATGGATGAAAAGACTAAAAATATCCTCCCCCCATTCTGCTTGTAAACAAAGGGGATGCTTGGGTGGAGGAAGAAATTTCACAGATAGAAAAAGAAACTCTCTCTCTTACAAACTCAGTTCCATGACCTAGGAGCCTATCTGGGAACTACATACAACTTTCACCCTCTTTTCTGAATTATGCTTTTTTTTTAAATTTTTATTTTCTGAGAGTGGGGAGTAGGGAAGGGCTGATTATAAAAAAAAACCTCACAAAACTTTACTGAAATAAAGGTGAGATTTCTAACGAGGAGGGGAAAGGTGATTACTTTTCACAGCTGGGCTGGACCGTCAGTGTGGTGATAAGGTTTTTTGTCCCTACTGACTACCAAATCAATTCAATTCAACTTAATGAAACTTGACTCCTCACTCCAATCTAGTTCAACCTACCTTCCACACTCTTCTCCACCATACACCTGTCCTATGCCCCACCCCAACTGGACTACACACAAATTACCACCTTTATGTCTTTATTTTTTGAATGTTCTTTTCATCACGGCCTGCTAAAACCTCACTCATCCTTTAAGACCCAATTCCAAAGCAACTGATTCTTTGAGGATTTTCCTAATCATCCCCCATGTTTTCTCTTGGTCCTTGGACAGCATTAGATCTTTCTTAAGCTTTTATAGCTTAAGCTGAGTTATATTATTACATAGTTAATGTATAGCTATTGTATAGTTATAATATATTGTTACATTGTATTATTATATTAATGATATATTATAATGTATAGTTAATGTATAGCTATTGTATAGTTATAATATATTATTATATTATATATTACTAATAAGTGTGTTATATCTTCCCTAGAGGTAGCATGACCTAGTGGGTAGAATTGTTCTTCAGTCATTTAGTCCTGTCCAACTCTTTGTGACCCTATGGACCATGGCACACCAGGTCCTTCTATCCTTCACTATCTCTCAAAGTCTGTCCAAGTTCATGTTTGTTTATTCCTTGACATTATCTATCCATCTCATCCTTGACGGTCTCCTATTCCTTTTGCCTTCAGTCTTTCCCAACAGCAGGGTCTTTTCCAATGAGTCCTGTCTTCTCATTATGTGGCCAAAGTATTTCAGCTTCAGTTTCAGCTTCAGTATTTGACCTTCCACTGAATAGCCCGAATTCATTTCTTTAAGTATTGACTGATTTGATCTCCTTGCTGTCCAAGGGACTCTTAAAAGTCTTCTCTAGCACCACAATTCAAAAGTGTTGATTCTATGGCATGCAGCTTTCCTTGTGGTCTAACTCTCACAGCCATACACTGCTACGGGAAAAACCATAGCTTAGACCTTTGCTGGCAAGGTCATGTCTCTACTTAAGTATGCTGTCCAGATTTGCCATGGCTGTCCTTTCCAAGGAGCAAGCTTCTTTTAATTTCATGGCTTTGAGCCTAAGAATATAAAATCTGATATTGTTTCCATTTCTTCTTCCTCTATTTGCTAGGAAGTGATGGAACCAGTTGCTAAGATCTTAGTTTTGGTTTTTTTTTTTTTTGATGTTAAGCTTCAAGCCAGCTTTTATGCTCTCTTCTTTCACCCTTATCAAGAGGCTTCTTAATTCCTCTTCATTTTCTACCATCAGTGGAATCATAAGTATTTCTGAGATTATTGATATTTCTCCCAGCAACCTTAATTTTTTAGAAATTTTTAAATTAAAATTTTAAATAAGACTTTCAATCCATCCAGCCTGGCATTTTGCATGATGTAGTCTCCATATAAGTTAAATAAATAAGGTGACAAGATACAGTCCTGTCATACTCCTTTTCCAATCTTAAACCAATCCATGTTCCATGTTCGGTTCTAACTGTTGCTTCTTGACCTGCATACAGGTTTCTCAGGAGACAAGTAAGATGATTTGGTCCTTCTGTCTCTTTGAGGACTTACCACATCTTACTGTAATCCACACAAAGGCTTTAGTGTAGTCAATGAAGCAAAAGCTTATGTTTTTCTAGAACTCCCTTGCTTTCTCCATAATCCAGTGAATGCCGGCAATTTGGTTTCTAGTTCCTCTGCCTCTTCGAAAACCAGCCTGCTCTTCTGGTAATTCTTAGTTGACATATTGCTGAAACCTACCTTGCAGAATCTTAAGTATAACCTTGTTGGTGTGTGAAATGAGTGCAATTGTTTGGTAATTTGAACATACTTTGGCATTACCCTTCTTTAGGATTGGCACATAAAGTAATCTTTTCCAATCCAGTGGTCACTGCTGAGTTTTCCAAATTTACTGACATAATAAGTGGATAAGAGCTGGCCTCAAAAACTGAAGTCCTTCCCCTGATACATCTTGGCTAAATGACCGACGGTAAGTCACTCAATCTCTCAGTGCTTTAGGCAACTCTCTAATACTGTTGATTTGTACTGGAAGAGCTTTACCTGGGAGTTCCCTAGATCTATGAAATTACAGGTCCAGTCCCTAACCCTATATATATATCCCTATTGGTTTATAAACCCTTGAGATCAAGGATTGCATCTTAATTATCTTTGTATTTCCCCCAGCATGAAGCACAGTGTTTTGCACATTCTGAGTGTTTGATACATTATTATGATAGGAATATTTTAGTTTTCTCATTTATTTGCAAATGAAGAAAGACTGATAGCTACGGTGACAGGAACCTTTCCCTACCACCATGTACCTGAATGAGTTCCAAACAATGGATGGCTTTTATCTTTATCCCTAATTGGTTTCACATTTTGGATGCCACTGGCATCTGTGCTTCCTTAACAATGATGTAAGAGATTGTCAGGCACTTGAAAAGAAAATACAATAGCTAATTATCAATTGTGTGATACCCTAGTATAGTGAACATATTGCAAGGTAAGTGATCAATGCACATTCCTCAAATTCTTGATCCGGTGATGACGGAACTGGATGGAATTGGTTCAACTGACTAAGGCAATCTGGCAAAAATTCATCAAATGGCTTCTGAATTTAGAATCCTATATGACCCCCCTCAGAAATGGTACTGATATAACTAACACTAAAAAATCTTTCCTTCTGCTTTCATGGGCTCAGCACTCAGTATGCCTGAGGTGAACAAAACACCAACAGTCAAAATGTGGCAACTACAAATTTGTTCTTCAATGATGGGCAGCTTAGGTGTCCTTTAGATCCTTCCGGCTATCCTAAGCTTAAGACAGCAGCTTTGAAAAGTTGGTTTTGAAAACTATTTACTTCTCAGGGCAAGGATATTGTGGGATATAGCACCACATATTTATTTAGAACTTTGAGATTTACAAAGAATTTTCCTTGCAACACTATAAGGAAGGTAATGCAAGTGTTACTGTCCCCATTTTATAGATGACAAAACTGAGGTGTGGGGAAGTTAGATGACTCGTCCATTATTCCACAGTAAGGGGTAAAGCAGAGATTCAAATTCAGGTCTTCTGATACCAAGACCAGTACTCTCTTTTGATCCCATTATACACCAAGTAGGAAGCTAGATAAGATGACCTCTAAAGTTTATTCCAATTCATATTTTCTATTGATCACCTAAACAGGTAAATCAGGCAGATAAATTTATATATCATACAGGCTAATCCAAGATCCAACTTGAATATGAAGACCTACGTATAAATGTCTTTTTTGTGCAGAGTCTGACCCAACAAAAACAAGGGCCACATGCCAGACAAGAAAGGATGAATGACACTTGGGGAAAAATTGGGTCAGTGAATTCTGGGCCAGAAGGAATCCATGATGTCTGGGGTGTAGTCACTGAGGTGTAAGCCAGGCTTGTGTGGGGGTCTTGAACCAGTTCTGATCACTCATGTGAACGTCCTAGGGATGCAGGTCTAGATCCTAGTGGGTCAGTTATACTGAAGGCCTCTGCCTAACCCCTACATTAAAGGAGTGCTGCAGAATCACACACTTCAGCGCTGACGGAAGCTCCAGGATCATCTACCCTAGCTTTAAGTCCTTTCCTTTTCTTCTTAACACTTCCCCAAAGCTAAAAATGCTAGCATTTGGGCATATGTTATTATCTCATCTGTTTTGCAATAAAACTGTTGGGTCTGCAGGTGCTTGTTTTGCCTAGCATCAAGCTGAACGATGGCACTCAATTCTGGGTGTGAAGGGAGGAGTGAGAGGGCGTTATGAAGGAAGTCCAATCTGGCCAGAATTCGTGATCTGTCCGTACACCAAACCGTTACTTTAGTTAGTTTTAAACTAAATCATGCTAATGTTTTCCCTTCAAGATGATCTGGAAAGTAACTGTCAAAGTATTTTTTGTTTGTTTGTTTTTTGTTTTTTTTTGGTCAACAGAGTTTTTGAAGAGCTTTAATGCCAAGATAAGAGTGACTCTGCTAATGGATAAACTAAAAAGGGTTGGGCTCAGACTTGGGAAGTCACTCAGTTCACCTGCCCTCTCACCTTTCTGGTCTAGGAACTGTGCTGGTCATGGTACAGGAGTAACTTTCACTCATATTTTAATTAAACTTGCACTAGAAACTCTAGATCAAAGCAAATGGGTAGTAAGTGAGAGATATTACAAAAACACAAAGAACATTTCTGGTCTGGGCCAGGACAGGTGTGAAGGAGTGGGTTTTTATGAACCAAGAGGTTCATTAAAATGGGATGAGATTAACATCTGTTCCTTATATGAACAAGTCTGCCCAGCCTAAACCTAAATAGGTTTTTAAAAATGATTTTTCCCCCTGCGACTTCTTTATAACTCCTATTACAGCTTTAATTTTTTGCCAGATTTTCCTAACTTGATTTTGCAGACTCAGATTTGGAAGGAACCTCAGAAACTATCTTGGCCAACTAGTACATTTCTGTGGTTTAACTGGTAAAATGAAATACAATTGATTTATTATCCAAGTCAGGCTCACTTTGGAGCACAGAGTCTGAAAGTATTCAGCCAATTAAGGAACCACTTTGGAATAAGTGGAATAATGGCAGATATTACACAGTACTAGATGTAGTAAGCACTTAATACTTATTGAATTCTTTTGCTAGCACAGCAAAACCAGTACCCAGACACAGCACCTACCTGCAAGTCTGTAGGACCTGCACAGCCGAAGACCAATGGAATAGAGGGGAAGGGAGTCTATAAGGTCCACTAGCAAATGGATCAGCCCTTGCACGATCACCACCAATAGACGAAGCTAGAACGAGAAAAGCAGCACTGTGAAAGGGCTTCCAGGAGAGACAAGCAGGTCTTTTCTTTGCCAGCACTGCCCAATCCAACCCAACTCTGGGACACCCTTGCTGCCATCATGGAAAAAGGCTCTCCGCTTTGCCTACGCAGCTAAAACCCCAGCAGGGACTGTACCTTTCTGATCTAGGAAGTTGGAAAAGTACATTGTTGGAGTCTATGAAGACTACTAAAAATAGCTAGCATTTATATGGGTCTCTAAGGTTTGCAAAACACTTTACAGATGTTATTCTCATTGAACTCAGACTCAGAGCACATTGTCTATTTTAATTCTGAAACTCAAATGTTAAGGAGTTAAAAATAGAGCCAGATTTTCTAGATGAAATTAGAAGTTTCTTAGTAAATTTTCTATAACTTTCTTTCTTTCTTTCTTTTTTTTTTTGGTGAGGCAATTGGGGTTAAGTGACTTGCCCAAGGTCACACAGCTAGTACATGTCAAGTGTTTGGTCTGAGGCCGGATTTGAACTCAGGTCCTCCTGACTTCAGGGCCGGTGCTCTATCCACTGTGCCACCTAGCTGCCCCTATAACTTTCCCTGAAAAAGGAAGGCAACCAGGTAAGTCAAAGTTGGCAAGGAGAAATTATATAACATAGTTTCTTGAATAGTTTTGTCTTGCACAGGACACAATTATGATCCTTCCCATAAGTCATTTCAGAACAACCACTACCACCTAATACAGAAACTTTGTCAGAAGAGGAGTAGAGATCAACTTGCTGGCCAATCTTTCAAAGACAGATGTGACTTCTAAGTCCAGTAGCTAAATCGTTTCTAAGGATTAACCGAGGTACACAAAGGTAAGCACTATTTCAGGCCCATCAGGGACCACTGAGACCCCAGCAGAAATTTACTAAATCAAGGATGGAAAATTCCTATCCTGAAAGACAGTAGCACAAAAGGCCATTTGCTTGCTGAGTGTGTCCTGCCTTAAAGTCTCTGCTAGCCATTTCCTTCTACCATTGGTTTCACTGTTTCCAGGACTTTTTTAGTCACTACAGATGGCTCAGTACATACTCTGTACATTCTCTTATCTTTATATGTGGAAAAAAAAAGGAAAGAAAGAAAAAAAAGGAATCCTAAAAAGGCTAATATTATCTATGCTTTGTTTCCCTACTAATTGCTTTAAAGAGCACCTATCAGCTAATGAGGGAATCATGAACCAGAAGAATGCCTACTGATTTCTTTCTCAAGCCCAATATTAAGGTTTTTGGCATCAAATAAGGCACCGTGGATGCTGACCATCTGCCAGATAGACAAGGATCAAAGCAGAACAGTGATTATCTTAGCAACTGTGTATAGGAAAATTAAATAGAATCCAGGGGAAAGACAATGGACCAGGTTTTAGTTGAGAGACTGTTTTAAGTACTCCCTAGAGAAGACGGAATTTGGCAGTCTGTACTTTTGTCTCTTTCACCTGTGGTCCTAGCAGGGAGTACAGCATATTAAACTGAAATGGAGCAAAAAAAAAAAAGAAAGAAAGAAAAACAGATTATGGATGATTTTCAGACTTCACTCATATATTAGATGAATAGAATCAGACACTGGGGTTGTCCACTTACCAGAGTAAAGACCAAATAGTAGAGGGCTGTGGTGGGCAGAAGGAATAACAGGATGGTAAAAAGCAAAGTCCCAATAAATAGCTGTAGGACAAAACATACATTCACATATTGAACATTAACAGGAGGCAGAAGGACCTGCACTTGAAAGTATCCTTTTACTAAAACTGGAGAAATTTCTGGTCCCTTCTCTTTGCTCTGAACTCATCCTATAACTAAAAAGAACTTCGGCTAATCTTGATGGTTTGGTTTTCACAAGAAAATTCACTCACAATTCACTGTCTCTGAAAGCTTCCTTCTAATAAAGCTGCCTGACCCAGTTCAGTGTGTTGTATTTTAACTGCATCACAATTTAATTACTGACATTATAACGTTTGATTACTTACAGCCAAGAGAATGGCAAAGACTGATATAAAACCAGAGGGGTCAATTTTCTTTTGGCAAAGTAAAGGAAATATTTATCATTAAGGGAAGGGAAGAGGGATGCTAAAATAAGCATGTATTAAGCACCTACTACGTGCCAGGCAGTGTGTTCAGTGCTTTACAGATATTATCAAGATAAAACAAAAACACATTTCAAATGCTGGACTGTCCAGATGGTAAGAACCCAATATCCTGAAATGGTCAGAATTTGAACAGTTAGTAAGAAAAAGACCCAATCCTGGTTCCTTGAGAACTTCTAGGTGAAAATACCATGGTCAAAGTAATTGTAATTAAAGCTTTTCTCAACAGGTCTCACTGGTCACAATTTACTTTTTTGTGCAAGATGGCTTTAGAAGCTAACTCCACTTTCTAAACAGGTATGGCAGGGGTTAGAAATATGTCCAGGAAGAGGCTGACTGTTCTTTTTTCTTTTTTTTTTTTTTCATTTTTTGCTTAGACAATTGGGGTTAAGTGACTTGCCCAGGGTCACACAGCTGGTAAGTGTCAAATATCTGAGGCCACATTTGAACTCAGGTCCTCCTGAATCCAAGGCTCTCTCCACTGTACCACCTAGCTACCCCTTGACTGTTCCTTAATAGAATTCCTAAATTCCTAGGTCCTATCTTTCCAGTAAACCTCTCCCAGCTCTCATCCAGGATAGGGAGGAGAGAATATATTATCATTCCGTATCAAGGATGCCAACAATCAAATTCTGATTTAAGAATAAAGCACATCAAGAGCAATAAGGTGTCATCATACACCCCTTCCCCACAATTTGGTCTACAGTGGGCTTTAGTTAGTAGTCCCAATTCAGTTAGATTATAACGTTCAGTTGCTAAGACCCCTAGATTCCTGAGCATTTGACAAAAACTCAAAAAGACAAAAGTCAAAAAGCTCTAAACTTCTTCCTGGTGGTGTCTGGAACCAAAACACCTCCTCCATACCCCAAGTAAAAGAGACTAATGTCATTTTACAGTAAATGGGCAGAGTAGGGCCTTGTGGAGAGGACACACCTCCTAAGGGCCTTGATGTCTCTACTAGCTAATTGAGCCCACAAGCAGGTTCCAGATGAAGAGAAGGGGTAAAGGAGGTGGATAATGTAAAGCTAGTTCCTAGAAGTAGGGTGACTTGGAAATGCGAAGTGCTTTTCAGGGGCATTTTACTTTAAAAACTGTTACTCAGTTATGAATAAGGTATATTGCTGTCCTCCACTCTTGATCCCTTTTCATTCCCTTGGCCTCTCTTCCTGGAAGTCCTCCTGCTCCTCTACCTCTGTTCATTAGACTTTGTCTGTGATATACCTTCTTTGGGTCATCCTATTGTCACAAAATGCAATGAACAAGAATACGGTGGCAGGAAAGGAGTTCGAAGGAAAGATGCCCCAAGGGGCAAAAAGGAATCAGGAGTAATCTAGGGAAAGAATGCTGTGAGAATTGGAGAGAAGTGAAGGCCAACAGTATGTATTCCTCATAACTGAATAATAGCTTTAAAAAATAAGCTGTCCCCAATCCCGAAAATTACTTCAGTACTACTGGCCATGATGAAGAGACAACGAAGCAGAAAAGGGAAAATGAAATTGACTTGCCCAAGATCATGCAGTGACTTCATCAGTGGTACTTGAGTATCATGCCTAAACAGAAAACTATTCTACAGGAAAAAGAGGAGTGACCATTACCAGGAGCTTTCTATTCTGGATTCTCATCCATTTGGTAATTCACAGTAGATGAAAACCGATTACCCTCAAAGCAAAATGTATTGGAAAACCCACTGGATTAAAAGTGTAAGGTTAGGCTTTGCCATTAACTATGTGATCTTAGGCATGTAACATCACCAGTCTGGATCTCAGTTTCTTTGTCTGCAAAACAAAGGGTTGGACTAGATGATCAATAATATTCTATGATTCTATGAGATGCCACTGAAACACCTTGGTTAACTCCTGGATCCCATCCATTCCTGTCCTTTCCTCCCCTTTTCCCAAACATATGCAGAATACCCAATGTTATTTGTTTTATCTTGGATGCATGGACAAGCAACCTTCCGGTATAAACCAGTTTTCCCTTGTAGGCACATTTTAAATCATGATAAATAAATCTTTTTTTCCAGGACTGTGCTTTCCAACCACGGCCATTTGTTAATTATTAATGTAGGAAACAGTGGAGTCCAGCTATGACTCAATACCTTCATGACTATGCTTATTTAAGGTTTCTACTACTCTTGAAAACTGGATATTGGTTTTTGGCCTTAACCATTGTGGTTTATTCTGAAACTGCACCACAGGAAATAAGCAGGATGGCCTAATTATATTAGGTGAGGGAAAAATCCAAACACTAGGCTGACCTGCTTGAAATTACTAGGTTAAAGGCAGAGACCAGGACAAATCAGGCAGGTGGGATGTTCAAAGAAGACTATGCTGCTAAATGGCAAATACTGTGGTTAGAAAACTATACACGGGTGCAAAAAACAGCAGGCAGCCTGATAGAAGGCTCTGGTTCTTCTCAGAAGGGTCCCCAGAACATGGTTGGCTTGGATCAAGCTGAGAGAGCCATCATCTTCCATTTCACGACCACTGGGTGCAAGTTTGCTTATATTTTACTACTTAAATCTTTATCCAAAACATAAATAATGATATACACCATGAAGATCAGGGAAAACAAGACCCTTTCCATGAGCTCAGGCTCTTCTATTGCAGGAAGTATGGCAAAAGGAGTGGGCAGCACTGAATTTTCTCAGACTCTTATATTTAGTACTCTTTCTTTGGCCATTTCTCATTCTGACACCAAATACCAAATGTTCTAGAACAAAATAGAGAAAATGCCTCTAGAAATTCTTTGCACATAATAGGTGCTTAATAAATTGCTACCGAATGAATGAATGCTTAGAGGAAGCATGGGCAAAGATTTTATGTTATATGCTTGGCAGTGACTCCAGCAAGATGAATATTGTATGTGCCAGCACTTAAGAATATCTTATCATGGTGATCCCATCACCTAACCAGAGACAAATGGAGAAGAGTGGCAGCTAACATAGGACAGTAGTGGGGATAGAGATTTCTGTTTGGGTAACATTAAAGAACTGACATGTTTGGCAAGATGTCCTAGACTAACCTCTATTTTAGTCTTGAACAATGGGTAATTCAAAGGATTGGCCTATACTGCAATCTGAGCAGAAGATGGAATTTAGGTTGCACATCAAATGCTAGAAACTGCAGATGAGAGCAGCCTACATTGTATTCATTTCCAAAGACGGGAGTATAAGAATTGCATATTTTCTGCTAATACCTGATCCAAATCATAGGAACAGGAATCCACCCGCTGCCTCAGGACATTCCATTTCTTTCCTCGGAAGAGGCGCCAGAGAGAAGACAAGCCATAGATCTTCAGACAATACAATCTACAGAAAAAAGGAATGATTCAAGTAATAATCATCTAGGACTCATGGGTCCTAGGAGGTGAGAAAAATTGGGGATTCCACAACAAAAGTATTTATCAGAAGTGACCTAAGATGCTTAGTAGGATGATCAGGTGAGTGGATATTTTTCATTAGTTACTCAGAGAAGCTAGGTTATATTTTTTTCTCTTTTTTTTTTGGTACAGAGATGTGATTTTATTAATGTAGGGAGTTTTCGTGCAAGGAATCTCTACCAATTCTGATTGGCAGCTGCTGTGCAACTTAGCACTTTAGAGAAGAATCTAGGGTGCTGAGAGGTTAAATGATTTTGCTCAAGGTCACCCAGCCTCTGTGCATCATGATATGTTGACTCTTGAAGGTTATTTTCACAGGAATAAATTACTCCTCTCACCCATTAACTGTCCTACTCTAGTCCCCAGAAACTTTTAGTATACTAAGTCATGATACTAAGTTCACATTTCCTTTACATTTTACAAAGTGCTCTTCCTGTGGGGCAGACTGTGGAAGTATTACTATCCCCATTTTAAACCTGAGTAAGCAGTGGCCCAGAGGGTTTAAGTAATTTGCCTGAGGTCCCACCACTAATAAGTGGGTATAGCGCAAAGACCACTGAATTTGGAGTAGGAAGACCAGATTCAGATTCCAGCTCTGATGGATGACTAGTAGGTATTTCACCTCTCTGAATCTCAGCTTCTCAGCTGAAAAATGAAGTCATTGGACTGGCTGGCCTTCATTGTCTCCTCCAGTTCTAACTCTCCAGAGCTCAGACTCAAACTTTTATTCCATGTCCAGAGCTCCTTTCACCACACCAAGCTGTCTCTGAGTGTACTGTATAGCGCTATGGAGTAGGGTTTTCCAGATCACACCCTGCACTATCTGCTTAAGATTTTGGTCTTCCTTGTCTACACTTCTCTGTGGAGAGTTTCAGCTAATAAGGGGATTTGAAAGAGACAGTGTGAAATGAGTTTAACTTCCTCTGCTGTAAGCCTGTGGGCATGGTCAGAGGTCTACGCTTATTTCCTTGGGGGAATAATTATGCCAATTGTACCCACCTGGCTCCATAGACGTAAAAGCAGTAGATGTGGAAAGTGAGCAGTGCAATGATGTCTGAAAGTATGGACAACACCACTGTCAGACCCAGGCATGCTGAAAGACCTACATACCACAGGATCATTTCAATGAATGGGGACAACAAGTGGATATAACCTAGAAGAAAATAATAATTTCCCTTATCAGAATGACTTCAGTTGGTTGTTTCTCTTGGAGCAGCTTTAAAAGTTGGAATTGCCCAAAGCACATAAGTCACACACCAGGAAACTAGGCTTCTGTCCCTATCTAACAAATGGCTTCAAACCATCTTTTAGTCACTTGTGCCCCTCTAGGTACTGTGGAGTAAGACCTGACTCTCTCCTCCCCATGGTTTCTGTGGAGACCACATCTGTAAACCAACTACCTCCCACTACTTTCATTTAAGCTTGCTTTCCCAACAGCAGATATGGAGTCACTTAAGCCAAAACACTCCACTCAGTAGCACCTTGAGTCAGCACACACAACTACTGAGGTTCTGAGGACAAAAAAATTAGCTTTCTTACTGAGAATCAGTGACAAGAATGGGAGAAAGAGGGCATGGTGTGAAAGGATTCCTAAAGAGTATGTATGCAATATAGATTCTTTTTATAAGATAACATTTCTGGAAGGGGTATAGTAGAAAATTTAGTAAAAACTGTAAGACACAGTGAGCCATAGGAGTTCCTCAAGAAATTTGGAAAAGGAAGCTTCAGCTATTTTTAATTCATTGATACTTAGCTTCCTTGGGAATTATGAGGAAATGCAGCCTCAGAAAAGAACAGACTGGTCAGACCTGATCCTTCTTAAGGTTTTCTTACTTCTTACTCCATACTTGTACTCATTTTGGCCTCATGTTTGATCAACCCAAAGGGGCTAGGGGTGCAGGCTTCTTCTCCTTCTCTGCTGCCACCAACAGTCTGGGCCTTGCCTGGTCTCACTATTTCATCCATTAGTTCATCCAGAGACAAGATAAATTTTACCGAAAGGGCTTTACTAGCCCCTCTAACAAACACAGAGTTCGGGGCTCTTTCCCTGTGATCCTCCAAGTCTGTCCAAACTGGTCATCCACCAACTTTCTTGACTAATTAATTCTCTCTCCCATCGAGCTTACATTTTAGCCTGGCTTTCCTATGTGACTAGCCACCACATTGCTTTGAGAAAACTTGACAGTTATTTCAGCTACTCCTCCAACCCAAGTCCTGGGTTCAAAATTGGCAGTGCTTCTGCACTCTCCCACCAACTTCCAGGGCCATTACTTCTAGCTGCCATTAGATGTGACATCAACAAACATCTATTCAGATTAAGTCACAGATTATCTCCTCCCCAACAGGCTTGAAACACCTCACAAAAGTTCCACATACAGTAATATTAGTTATAAAGCAATATGTTGTGATACCCCCATATAATTTTCACCAATAATAAGGGAAGGGACATTTCTTTACATGCATAATACAACCTAATCTTATAATTACAATGTAATTAACTGGTAAGATTAAGAATGGGTGGACCTGTACAGCCTATCAGAAAAGGATCTGGGCAAATGTCTTCCTAAAATGTAACTCTTCCCTGAATTCCTAGATTGGATTTCCAGGTCTTTTCTTTTGCTCTGTCACTGACCTCTTTTATATGTGTTGTCTCCCACAGTTACCATCTGAGCTCCTTGAGAGCAGGGAATGTCTCACTTTTTTCTGTCTCCCCAACACTGAGAACATTTCTAGGCACAGAGCAAGCACTTTATAAATTACTTCATACCACTGTTTCCCACCAATGCTACTAGGGCCTTCTCATTTCTCACTGGGGCATCATTTGACAGTAAAGCACAGAAAACAAGGAAAAAGCTGTACTTACTAATCCAAAGGTGAATGTGGTAGAGAAAGAAGCGACCCAACACTTGGTCCAAAGCTCGATTCATTTTTAGACCAGCAGGACTCCCATCAGCCACTGCAGCAGGTCCTGGAGCTCCCGGGCCACATGCTATCAACATAAAGCAAAAAGCCCATAGGAGAGAATGATACTGAATCTGAAGTTTAGCAGGTCTTAGCTCTGAGGAGTTCACTGACAGAGCAACACAAGCTTAAATAGGTGAAACGTTATTCTTCCACAGAAAACAGGACATAGAGGTTAAAGAACTTGCCCAAAGGCCCATGGCAAGTCAGAAGTAGGTCAGGGGTCAGGGAAAAAGGACCGAACACAAGTATGAAATGGGCCGGGCAGCCCCGTTCTCCATATTCTGTCTCGTTGACCATCAGTACCAAAGGATGTTTCACTGCACGTGTGTAATTGTCTTTCATTTCGTTAAAAGTGTAGATGCACAATTTGATCTCTTTTAAAATGTTTTTATCAATGACTTTTGTTTGTTACAGCATTTATTTCTCAGTATATGCCCCTCTCCAGCCCTTCACTCATCCGCTGCCGCCCCCTCCCCCCACAATTATCAAACATTCTGTTGTAACCAAGAAAAAGTTCTGCAAAACTGACTGTTAAAGCAACTGGGTGTGCAACATTCTGCCCCTATAGTCCCTCACATCTCCACTGAGAGGAGAAAGTTTGGTTCATCATCTGTTCTCAGGAGCCAAGAATGGTCACTGCAATGACTCTGAGTTCAGCTGCCTGTTAGGACTGTTTTCATTTACAATGCTGCAGTCATTCTATAAAACAATTTAATTCAACACAGGTGGAATGAGGGCAAGAAATTGATGTAATCTCAGAGCAGTATCCTAATTAAGTAGAAAGAGCAGTGGATTTTGATTTGGAAGACTTGGGTTTGAATCCCATTGATTGGTAAGTTATTTACTCTCCCACTGATTAGTAAGTTATTTAACATCTCTGAGACTCAGTATCTTCACCTATAAAACTGTGATCCTAAAGCATGATCCTGTCACTCCCCTGCTCATGAAGCTTCAGTTGTTCCCTATGGCTTCTACCAAATTACTTCATATTACTCTGTATATATTCTGTTGTAAAAGAAAGTATTTTGTAAAGCTGAAAGAGCCCCACAAATGTGTGTTAATATTAATTAAATTATATATTCATAAATAAGCACTGAATCAACAAGCATTTATTTATCTAATTAAGCATTTAAGTGCTAGAGATACAAAGACAAAAATCAAACAGTCCTTGGCCTCAAGGAGCATACACTCTGTGGGAGGAGAAAACACATGTAGTATATACAAGCCATCTCCCAAGCAGACAGAAGATGACCTTAGAGGGAAAGGCACTGGCAGCTGGGAGGAGGGAGAGGCCTATGCCAGGAATGGCCTCCCGCATAAATAGGTACTTTAGCTTAGTCCTGAAGAAAATCAGGGACTCTTGAGAGGTAGAGGAGAAGAAGGAGAGCATTCTAAGCAGGGAAAAGGCCAGTGAAAAGACATAGAGATGGGAGATAACATGTTCTGTGTGAGGGATAACAAGTAGGCAGAACCACAGTATGGCTGAACCACAGAGTACATGGAGAGGAGTAATATATATGGGAGAGAGAGAACGAGAGACAGACAGACAGACAGAGAGAGGACAGACCAAGAGAGACAGAGACAGACTGAGAGAGAGGGAGGGAGAGGGAAAGAGAGAGAGAGAGAGAGAGACAGAGAGACACAGAGAGAGACACAAAGAGAGAGCCAGCCAGATCATGAAGAGCTCTAAATGTTCAACAGGGGAGTGTATATGTGATTCCTAGAGACAACAGGAAACCACTAGAATTTATCGATTAGGGGTGGGAATTCAGTTAACATGATCAGATCTGCACTTTAGAAAGTATCACTTTAGTGGCTGTGTGAAGGATGGACTGGAGTCAGGAGAAGGCCAACACAGAGAGAGCAATCAGGTAGCTATTGGAATAGGTCAGGCAAGAGGTGATGAGAGTCTGAACTAGGGTGGTAGTTGTGCGAGTGGAGAGTGAGAAACACTGGAGAGAGAAATGACAAGATTTGGCAACTAAGAAGAGGGTCTAGGACAGAGCCTTGGGCTCTTGGACTTATCTCTGGGACATGGATGATGACCCAGCAAAGGAGACTGGAGAGGAGCAGGCAGACAGGCAAAAAGTTATAAGATTGATGATAGCTTATACCCGTAACTACAGTACTGCCTTAGACTTAACAATATGATACAGTAAACAGAGAGGTGGCTTTAGAGTCAGAAGAGCCTGCTTGTGTGACTGGGGCAAGTCATTTGACTTCTCTGAATCTCAGTTTTTTCCTGCCCAGGCATTTTCACCCTCATCCCTAACTCCCCAGCCCTGACTGGCCTGCAATGGGTAGTTCAGGAAGCTGACTGACTGATACTTTCCAAATACGGATACTCCACAAGCATGGGATGAACTGTGTCAACAAATGGGTAAAGAATATTTAAAAAGACTAGGTTGGCATTGCCATGACCTCTAGGAAGGCTACGTACAACAGTCCAGTAAAGACATTTAGCTGGTTGTCACTGTCTTCTGTATACTTGTCCTTGAATTCCAACTGATCCAAAGTTTACTGTGACTTCAGAATAGAGAATGACAGTGACGTGTAAAATGGATTTAGGGGATTGCTATGCATAAATCTTCACTACATACTGTCTGAGGAACCACCAACCTAAATGTGAGAGACCACCCATCCTATAACACTTTAGGAGTGGTATCCTTTCAACAGCATATGCCAGGTCTATGGCTTTTGAACAACACATGATCAGTATTTCTGTATTACTATAGTCCAATCCTCTTGCAGTGATAGTTTTTCAATGCCATTTGAGTGGCAGCAACACATAAGTGAGGTGTATATGTATGTATACATACACATGTGAATTTGCCCTCAAATTCCTGAAGGATTTATTAGGGATTCAAAAAGTTTTTTGGAGACCCTAATAAATGATATGAAAGTAAGTTCACTTATTCCTTTTAGTATCAAAAACTTAAATAGAGTTAGCAGAGCAAGACAGCCACTACTCCCTAGAGAAATCAGGATAGTAATATTCCCTCCCTGCCTCAGGAGTAGATGTATGTCTTTCTTACCCCTCTCTCCCTCCCCCACCTGGAATGTTGAGGACCAGTATTGGAACCCTGCTATGCCACCATCTAATGATGGATGACCCCTGGATCAGACAGTCACAGCCTTGGAGGAGTTAGTTATCAGTGGATCTGTATTAATTAATATGAGAAACTTAATACCAGAGAACCAATTTCCAAAAGCAGAGCTTGTGAAAAAAGACAATCCCTGAAAACAGTAACTGAATTTTTAGCTTTGTCACTAAGGCTAAATTTAACAAGAAAGTGCAAAATATAACTTCACATTTCAAAGAGATGCAGAGGAAGTTTATGGAACTCTAGAACACTAGGTGTACTCATTCTGTTCATTTTCCCACCCTCTAAAAATCCATCTTTCCGGTCTAGTACTTGTTTCTCAACTCTTCCAACATTTACCTTATCAGTAACTGACATGAAAGCACTACTACTTTGTGCCAACAAATCTTGCCCTTGCAGCTGAGAACAGAACGAACACACTTTATAAATAGAACTTATGTAATATTTAAAGCATAAGAGCCTGGCAACAGGAAGAGATTTTCTTTTTAAAATTAAATATTTATATATCTGTGCAATTTTGAAGTCAAAAGGTTTCCAGTCAAGGGTATCCAGGGAGCTTTGCAATGATTAGAGAAGTTAATTCCCAAACCTGACATAGCACTACAATTTTGGGTATAGGCCATGCCCGACTATCCCAGCCATATTGCTTTGTAGACCTTTTTGAACCAGTGTGGGTTTCCAGATCTCCAAAGACTTTGCTAGTTTTTAGAAGAAACAGAATAAAACATATGAACCCTCTGAACTCAGACACTTGATCTGCCTCTGCTAAAAAATGAAAAGACAGGAGAGAATAGGGAGGTAGTGCCTCACTAAGAATAATAATAGTCCATATGATATAAGGTTTGCGGTGCGCTTTACCTACAACATCTCACTTGATTCTCATAACAACCCTGTGAGACCAGTGCTATATTAGGATACTGAAGCCAACAGGAATCATCCAGAGCAGGAATGTTCCCCTTAGACAAGAATTCATCTGAAGAGGGCCAATAAGTTAATGAGAAGAGAAGTTTGAGAATGGTCAAAAGATCATGAAACCAAGGCTATGATCTAAATCACCGACAATTTTAGATGTATACGTTGACACTTCATGGAGAAAAACGGGAGTCTGTTGCTGCAGGCCCCTATTGCCAGCTAGTCCTTACATATCTAAACTGCCTTCCATTGAGAATGGTCTCATTCAATCTGAGGATTACTGAAAAGTCAGCAGGCTTTTTCTTTCTACATGTCATGTGCACATTATTTTATGAACTTGGGAAAAGGAATGATGTGAAAAGGTCACCGTGATTTGTAGATGCCTACAAGAGACTGCCATGTGGACAATTTGGGAAAGGAAAGCAGAAATAATGTAGATTTTACTTGGTCTCCAATGGGTATTAGTTATTAGGTGTCAAGGCACAGGTTTAGGTTTCATGAAGAAATTTCCTAGCAAGTAGGACATTATGAACATGGAATGGGATGATTCACGAAGTACTGAACTTCCCAACATTGAAAGTTCTCAGACAACAGCCAGGTGACCATATGTCAGAAATTTTGTGGATAGGATGGGTCAAACATGGCTAGGGCTAGATGACCTCTACAGTCCCTTCCAATTACAGAATTCTATCATTCTAATAAGAAAATCAAAAAAAACAATTTTAACTAAATGAAAGAAAGGGAAGCTGGTTACAGAAATATAAAGGTAAAGAAAAACAATCAATGAGACAGAATGCCCATCAGAGAGAGTAAAATCACATTACCGGGGGCAGGTAGGTGGTGCAGTAGATAGAGCGCCAGCCTTGGAGTCAGGAGGACCTGAGTTCAAATGTGGCCTCAGACACATTACACTCACTAGCTGTGTGACTTTGGGCAAGTCACTTAACCCCAATTGCCTCACCAAGAAGAAAAACAAACAAACAAACAAACAAAAAAAAACCCCTACATT